CGGACTCGGAGTTTGGGGCCCACCCTGGTCCACTATATAATTCTTTTTATTGCAGTCTCCTTAGGCATACAAAATTATTTTCAGAATAAGTTGTGCATCCCAGATTTTGTGAAAAAGAAAAATAAGTGTATCAAGAGTAGCGACTATAAATCAGATAAGAAGAGTACACTATTAACTTTGATATCAAAGCAAACTTATACAAAAAAAATTGAATAATTTTAGTAATAACAAACATTTTTATATATTAAGGTATACACTATTTTTTACTATTTTTTTATAATTTGTTATTTCAAAAAACGTCGTGTAATGTACTTGTTACAGCATACTGCGTATTATTCTATTTTTTTTAATTAACAATTTTGTCGTTTATAACAGTAACTTAACAAAATTAATTGAAAAATGTTGAATAAAAAAAATAAAATAAACAGTGTATCTGAAAATAAACATTCCTTACTTTTTTTGGGACATCCCATCTTTAGGCACATCATTATTTATTTTGATTTTGTATAATTACAGATTAATTACCAGCTATTTATTATATATTGCCGGTATAATTCAACGCTAGTTGGGACATGTATCCCATAGCAATAATAAGATTTAGAAGTCTTGTCTATAGTGTTAGATATCTTTTGTTTGACTTCAATTGATAAGATTTTTTTAATGAAATAGTTGAAGTTGTCCATAAATAAATAAAAACCCAAGCAAATGTATGAGTTGCACGGGTACCATGTAAAAGTTTATGTTAAAAATTACGTCTCAACTGCGGTGCAAATATTTGCGCCGAAATCTACATTTGATTCACAACGTAAATTTTTACTAATCCGGACCCGGCTTAGATTAATGAACGTTAACCGTAAAGAAGTGCAGCATAATTTTCATTAATTCTACTTTTCTTTTTTTGGAGAGGCAATGCGGCGCATTTTAAATTAAAACCACTCGTAAAGAGCAGTACGGAAGCATAAATGTCAAATTAATTTTTCCTTAAAGTGAGCTTTTAAATGCACACCTGCCCTGGATGATCCATATAATTTGAAAAATATCCCACTAAAGGATTTATTTTTAGAAATACTTAATCTAGCGGCTTTCGCTCCTCTTGTAAACTTATCCTCTTATCTCTCATATAAAGTTTCAGGCCGTATCCTTCGAAAGGATATCTAGCTCAACTTTAGTTGGATATCTGATAAGTTATAAGAAGTGGGAAGGAACGAAACAATTATTGGCATCGGGGCCTTTTTAAGAATTTAGTTTCCACTTATGTGAAAACTGATATATCTATATTAGATCCAAATGGACCGCAAAAAAAAGGTGATTATAGCTTTCTGCATTACTTTATGTCAGTGTGAAGATCTGTGAATATGACATGCCATTTCACCTTTTTTGTTAAATGTAGTCAGATTTTTTTATTTTTTCAGCGTATAGTTTAATATACTTAACAATATATATTATCCTAAAGAAATAATAGACGTAATAATTTTGACTGACTATTAGTCAGCGAATAATAAAAATATAAAGACTATAAAGTTTTGTTTATAGACATTTCTGTATACTAGATTTACTATTACCTTTCTATGAAGCAAGTTACTTTTGAGGATTTAAATTTAATTAAAATCGTCATTAAGTATTCTGTGAAAGTAACTCTATCCACTGGCATTCAGAAAACCAAAATATCTTGGATGTTTGGATCTAAGAACTTTATTGAATAAATTAAGGAAGTTGATGGAAACTCAATGTTAAGTAGTATGAAAATTCAAATTCAATTGAAAACATTTTTGTAAAAAATATTACTCGCTTCAAATACTTTTAACGAACCATTTTGGGCATGTTTTATAAAAATATAGTCTCAATTTAAGATAACATTTTATATAGTATTGAGACTATATTTTTATATTATATACGGGCTCTTAGAAATTCGCTTCTCACTGAAGGGATCTCGGAAACGGTAAGAGATACGAACTAGCTTAAATGGGGGCAAAGTTGCATAATCAGGGGACCAACATTATGCCTTTAAAAATCAACGTAAACATGATTAGTTTTCGAAATTTTTGAAAAAAAAAAATTTTGGAAATCCGTTTTTGTTTCAATTCAGCATTATTTGAGGTGATATTGAAAAAGAAGAACACTTCACTCTGTCGAATGGTATAATCAATTTTTATATGTAACGTTTCGTCTCTTCAGGCATGAAATGGAATGAAAATTAAAAAGTTATTTTTGATGTTGTAAGTGAAACTTCATTATAACCAGAACGCCAGGGACGGGTTATACCCAATTGTTAACAACCCATAATTTTTGCATAGATGACGATCGTAAGCTGCCAGCATTAAAAATAAGTTCCCTGAAGAATTTGCCAACGATGATATCCTCATGATTCAACTAGGTAAAATTAACAGTTTAGAAAATATTTATTATTTTATGCCGCGGTGGACATCGAGCGGCGCCTCCGCCATTTTTTGTTTTTAATTTTCAATTGGACGGAATTACTATGTTAGAATCGTACATATTTTTAAAATAAGAGCCTTTAAAATCTTGTCTGCTGTCTGCTAATAATTTTCACTAACAAAATTTGACACACACTCTATACATAACACAAAATAGAAAAACAAGAATAAGTTAAAGTAAGTTAAATATTCAACTCCAAATATCGAGGTCCATTCAGACATTTCCCAAAAACGTATAGACCTATTAAATTATTACCCACTATTAATGTATGGGCAGAAATAATAGGTAATAATTTAATAGGTGCTTATGTTTTTGAGGAACGTCTGAATGGACATCGATATTTGTTTTTGCAGCCAGTATTAGACGATGTTCCATTAGACTCCCGAAGAAACGTTTGGTTCATTGCCCACGAGGCTCCTTCCCATTTCATTATTTATCCATTGTGTCTAATAATAAATGGAGTGGGAGAGGAGGCCCAATTACATGGCCACCACGTTCTCCAGACTTTAACCGGATGAACTTCTTCCTGTGGGGATACTTGAAAAGTTTAGTGTACAGACAAGGGATTAATTACTACAAAGAATCAATTTCCATTGTGATAATATTAGATATATCCCACAAATGCTTTTTCATGTACAAAGAAATAACATTCGTAGACTTAGAAAGTGTGTGGAGGTGGAAGGCCCATATTGAAAATGTATTTTGATAGTTTTCTTTCTGTTAAATTATTTTTTAACTTACTTTAACTTATTCTTGTTTTTTTCTTAGTTAGTGTAAAGCGTGTTTGTCAAATTCTGTTAATGAAAATTACGTTAGCAGGTAGTAAGATTTTCTGGGCTCTTATTTTTAAAATATGTACGGGTTATAATATAGTAATTTATGTCCTATTAAAAATTAAAAACAAAAAATGGTGAATGCGCCGCTCGATGTGCACTGACATAAAATCACAAATATCTCCTAAACAGTTAATTTTACCAAGTTGAACCAAGAGGGTATTATCGCTGGCAAATTCTTCAGGGAACTTATTTTTGATACAGGCGATCGTCATCTATGCAAAAATTCTGGGTTGTTAAGTATTGGGCATAATCCGTCCCTGGCGTTCTGGGCATAATAAAGTTTGACTTACAACATCAAAACAAGCTGTACGCTTGTGTTATCGATCACCAAATTTGCATCGTGATGAAGTTAATGGTTTACAGACTGTAAATAAAAATAAGTTTTTAATTTTCACCATTGAAGATCCGTAACTTGTTAACGAAGTCCTCTATGAAAAAAATGTATATGAAGACTTGACATTATTTTGTACTCGACGTTTTTGTATCAATACCGGGACACCCTGTATATCTTATACGAGTACATAATAATATATTATATTTTTACTTATTTAAATTTTTCCTGCAGCGAAAAAAGTAAACAGCTAATTTAAAAATGTATTGCTGTTAATATCTGTCTGGCCTCGTTTTTCCTAACTGACATGTCACATTAAAGAAACAGATAAAAATTAAAAAAAAATAATAATAATAATACACAAATCTAACTTTGATTAGATGTAATTATTTAAGTTACTATTGACAAATATTAGAAAAGTTTAAAATTAATATTTGTCAATAGTAACTTAAATAATTATTCTTAGATAAGGTTCAAAATTAAAAATTAAAATTAATTCTTTAATTAACTTGATAATAATTAATTTGAAAAAGATTTAAAAAAGAATTGTAGACATTAGTATAATCAAAAATTAACTTTGTAGCCTTGTTTATGACCTGAAGATGAGGTGTAAAGTGTAGACCTCGAAACTAGTTGTCTTTTAAACACTACAAATAAAAGGATTGTGAGATTACTAAGTCTTTCCAGAAAATTATATTATTTATTTATTTTTCATGATGCCGAAGTAAAGAGGAAAAGTCATAGAATTAATTATTTACAAATTAATGAACTAATGTACAAACCCTGAATTTTTCAGTAACTAACCTTAAAAGGTACGAGCAGGCTGAGAAATTATGATTTTCACTAAAATATTTTAAACGTACCTATATTCGGTGTGGCAAAAAGGGTGTAATAGTTGCCTTTCAAAAAAAAGTAAGACGCCACTAATAAATTTCTAATATGATTAATATTCGTAAATCCCTTTTACAAAAGAAATTCTTCCGCTTTAGAAAAAAAATAGTCGACTCCGAGTACGTTTTTTATAGATGTTTCATAAGATAAAAGTAACTACAAATAAATCTCTACATTTTCAAACTAGCTACCTACAATTGTTATTGAAAGTTGTGGCTATTAATTGCAAAGTAGATGCAGTCTGAAATCGTGCAATAAAAGCTTGCAGTAAAAACTTTTGTTGCACAGGCACGGCTTCTTTATAAAAGCCAATGTTTTGCAATGGAAATTATGTAAGAAACTGTTCTTTCCTAAGATCGTCGGTAAAATAATTTTACAAAACGTAATCAAAGAAAGCCCTGTGCCTTAGTATACCTTTGAATATAAAAAAGTAACCAAATTATGTTTAAAAATAAAAGAATCAACTACAACTGCATTTTACGTAAAATTATAGACGATCAGGTTACCTGTGGTCTCCGCCTAGATCGCCTTCATCTGTCTCGTCTTCTCGCAGGTCCCTCTTTATAACAACGACGGGAGGGGGTTTGTGTTCGGCTCGGGGCTGCACGTTGGGAGAGCCTTGTCCACCCTTGCTACCCTTCCGCTGTCTGGTGGCCAACACTAGCCGCCTTGGTATCGACATGATGATGACCACATCGTCGAGGCTCATCCGCGTCACGTCCACCAGATTAACAGCTAAAATTTCGTCTCCGACCTGGAATTAAGTGGTTTCGTTGAAAATGCATTTCGAAGGGGTGGGTTAGAAGATATTTCGTAGCACATTCCTGTTTAAAACTAAATTTTAATACGGAAGCTAATTTACTTCTTCAAACATTATTTTATGCAAAAATGTAATAGTACCTATGATATCATACGTGATGTTTTTAATTACATGTAATTTAATACAAATGAACCAACAACATATCATTATGAAGGTATTTAATTCTGATTAATTTTTTGTCGTTTTTATTGTTTCCCGAACTACACTATCTTGTTAAATCCCCAATAAGTAGTAGTAATCAATTATACAGGTCGACAAGGGTCAAGAAGCAGACACGCTAATATGCATTCCCGAAAGATTTTGGTGCGCTGAATCCGAATCTGGCCGCAGAATTGCTCTATCACGTCAGGTTTCTGAGATATCACAACCTAAAAGTGCAAAAACACTGTTTTTCGTCATGCAGTAATGCCATCTATTCTTGTTCAAAAAAAAACAAAAAAAAAAAATACATATAATTTAAAAGTACAAGGCTCCCTCTTTTGAATGCCGTTGAGTTTGCTCAAATATCTTTTTTTTTTTTTCGTTGAGATATCACATGTTGAAATTTCGTTTATCAGTTTCTTAATATGCGAAAATCTACTAAGGATCCCTTAGACGTCAAACAGTTGATTGCAGTTCAGAAACTTCATACTCAGAAACCTTCAATACAAACGAACTCAAACCCACAAACTCCAAATCCACAAACCCACAATCCCTAAACCCACAATCCCTAAACCCACAATCCCTAAACCCACAAACCCCAATCCCACAAAATCCGAACCTACAAACTCCAAGCTTACAAACCCCAAGCCCACCAACTCCAAACCCACAAACCGTATAGATATGAAGTTTCTGAATTGCAATCGACTGCTTGATGTCTAAGGGATCCTCCTAGATTTTCGCGTATTAAGAAACTGAGAAACTTAGAAATTTCAACATGTGATACCTCAACGAAAAAAAAAAAGATATTTGAGCAAACTCAACGGCATTCAAAGGAGGGAGCCTTGTACTTTTAGATTCAATGTATTAGTTTTTTGAAAAAGAATAGATGGCATTACTACATAACCTCAAATATGACGAAAAACAGTATTCTTGTACTTTTAAGTTAGGATATCTTAAAACCTTACGTGATAGACCAATTCTGCTGCCAGATTCGGATTCAGCGCACCTAAATCCTTCGGAAATATATATTCAAGTTTCTGCTTCCAAAAAAAAGTTAAATTTTGTTGGTTTGTGTTATTGTAAACAATTTTCATTTGTTAACTAGTAATTCATGTTATTGATGAACAAGATTGAGTAATTTTGTGTTAATATTTTGTTATGTACCATAGGTACACTAATATCACGACACTAATAATTAATTATTATTAATGTGCACTATTCATTTATTTACATACTGTAACAAAAGTCGGGACTCGTGATAGATTATTTGTTAGTATTCGGAACTGATGGGTCAACTCGGTCAACAATAATTATTGAAAAGTTAATGGTTTTCAAGTAGGTTTAGCATCGCCATAAATTCGTTGAGCAACTGGTGCTCTTGTCACCGGGAGTAATAAATTTGCAAAGCTCGACCATCACAGTTCTTCGGATAAGGCCTCATGAAATTTAGCAATGATTTTGAACAAGTAGATTTAGATCGTCGAGGCCATGTGTTGAGCATCTGGTATCGACTAACTACGTCAGTTTAGCCCATGGTGAAGGGAAAAATCGATATTTCAATAACGCGCGAAATACATTCGAAAGGACGTCGGAATTCCAAGATATTTAAATAAGTTGTTAGGATGTTGTGAGGAAAATAATAATAGATTAAATAGCTGGTTTTTAGGCGGATTTTCCAAGCTATAAGAATAGATTAAATGAGATTGACTAATCCGTCCCGTGTTGCTATACGAAGTCACAAAAGGAAGGTGTAGGGTTACTTGTAAGTTCAGTTTAGTCACAAAATTAGCCATACAATTGAAAATACAGTCAATTAGGTATTAACATGGTATAGTTTCAACCCCCGATATTCAGGGATCCCGCCAATAAGATAAGAACTGAAACTTCTATATCTAAGAAATGGGCGTCTCGAAGCGAGGTGTCGAATTCATATGAGATCTCCAAAAAAAGGGCAATTTCTCCTTGCATTCCGCACTGGGCAGTTTTCTTAATTTTAGAGTCTCAAGTTAATTTAATAATAATGGATAAATTTTGCTATCAATTCGCGTTGGGTTCCCTGAACCTCGGATTGTGTTATCGCCTGTAAATTAATTAATAATCCATTGTGTCTTCATTATTTTGTTTGTTTTTATTGTTATTAAAAACCTTCCTGGAAGTTTTGGTGTTTTATTGCTTTTCTAAATTAAGTGTCCATCGAGTCAGAGTGGAACACCCTGTACAACCAACACCCGGATTATACTCTACGTGAGCGACGTACGGTAAGTGTCTGGAATTCATTCTCTGAACGTTCAACATTTCTAAGTTCCCACGTAGTAATTAAAGTGTAGATGATAATTATAAATTCCCTTTCGAGCAGTAAATGGTAAACTCTTTTGCAAGTTAATACCGTTATGATACTGATCATAACGGTAGATAGATAAATAATGAAATAACCCCTCAGGGGTCGCCAACCGCAGTATAACCAATTATTGATATGAAACGAATATTACTAATATGTATATCTATTAATATTAATTGACAAAAGTTCAGAAGGACAAGGGTTTCGCCAAAAAAAAAATCTAAATATCGCTTACTTTAGAATTAGGATATTGTAGATGATAATTTTCGTACGAACATAAGAAAAATTGCCACTCAAACTTGTATGTCTAAATCAATAGTACACAAAAAATGTAAGCAATAATTCTGTCATCCCTATGGTTTTCAACGAATGCAGGAATTGTCAGCAGGTTGGCAGCATATCTTCCTAACAGACGGAATTTCTGTAGAGGTTTTTAAAAGTAAATCACAGGAGTTTTCTCGAAAAAATTCTAAATATAGGTAAAATTTTACACCTGAAGGAATATTTCATAGTACTCATCGCTAGATTAGCGGCAACCCTCAAGAGTTTTCAACACAAATTTTCTGTTAGATCTAGTCGATGGGCAATTTGATCTCTCAGAAGATTAACAAAACCAAATTGTTTGGGCTTTTAAATTAGGTACTACTGCCAATCCTGTTGGAAGGTATTCCATTGAATATTCGCGCATCCTTCCTATAGTGCTCCGTTTTGTCTAACTGCAACGTGTTTACTACAACCATATACATACTATCTATATACTATGAGTTTTGTTTGGATCTTGACCGGAAGGAAAACCTCATCGCTCTGTCCTTGCCGAGTAAACAGAAGATAGAAGCAGATGCCGATGCGAGAATGTGACAATTTCGCTAGATACAATAAGTAAATTGTCACAGTCTAAGCAGTGGCAATCCGTAGTAAGGACAACAGCCGTCTTGCTCTCTCCACTCGTTCATGATTTTGTGTGCAGGGCATGCGTATTGGGTTCTAATTCCTCGGGAGAGACAGAAAAGTATCTCCTTCTCTCCGGACAATTCCGCACACATGGGCCTATAGCCGGCTACCATTATATAGATAATAAGTATATGACTACAACATGTGACCCTGCACAATGTTAGCAATTCTTCGGAATTAAAAAAATAGCGCACAATTCAAATCCTGCGTTCTTTTAGACGTGTTGTGGAATCTAATTCTTGTTATGTTTGAAAAAAATTAAATATTTAAGTATTACAAGAAATAAGCAATAGAAACTAGTGATGTAACGAATGCCAGTGTTTAAACATTCGCGAATGCGAATGCGAATGCGAACATCTGTTGTTGACATTCGCGAATGCGAATGCGAATACGAATATTCAGTTTTTAAATCTAGCGCCGTTTATCTATGATTCAAAATATGCCGCGCGCGACGCACATAATATTTCCGGTGACAGCGGCGCTAGAGGCTAAATAAATTAGCGTTGTTAATTTGGTAGAACGGAATGATTGGAATTTTGTTCTGTTTTCGCTACCGGCTCAGATGAGTTTGTGAATTGTGAGGTTAGACTGTTGTTAATTATTTCTTAACTTTTTTGTTTAATTTACCTAATATTGTTTTCACATTCTGTATTTTTCTTTCACGTTCATATTCGCAAAATATTCAAAGATATTTTCGAATGCGAATGCGAATGCGAATATCATAAATCAAACGAATATTCGCAAATGCGAATGCGTATGCGGATATTCGTTACATCGCTAATAGAAACACGGAATCTGTTCGATCTGAAACAGTTCCATTGGCTAAACGGATATGAGAAGTTCATATTTTCACCCTCTTTATTTCTTTTATCATTTTTTTGTTAACAATTGTGAAATGACGGTACGCAACTGTATTATTTTTTCACCAGATGTCAGAAAACGTTGAAACAATTGCTACTAAAATATATTCTGACCTAGAATCCAGATGGTGCAAAAACCGAGATAATTTTATTATAGTTATAACAAAAATCAATGTACTTGTGTAGTTAGCAACATTATAAACATTAACTTCTCGAGTTTTATGATGAAGCGGGAAATCCGGGTCTAATTCCTGATAACTCTCTTAGATTTCACACCCATGTATGTAAGTGCATTCATCCTGCCTACACATTTATGCAAACAATATATCCACAAAGTGATTGCATGACTAGAAAAGTTAAAACTGTTTTCAAATTGGAAATCGGAATTAGAATATATAGTCGTACAAGTTTCAAGAAAACAATTGATTAAAAATGGAGAATAGCTTTCTTTTGCAATAAGCAATATTGTTTCATTATTCAGGATGAAATTGTTTATTTTAAATAATATTCACGAGAATATTCATACAGTTAATACTAGACGCAAATCACAAATAATTATTTCACACCGCGCCACTACAAACATGAAAGATCTTTTTCCTATTATTTTCTAAATCGTATAATAATGTATTTGATTTTCTCAAGGC